TCCACCGGAGCGAACACCAGAGGGTACAGAGGACGGCCCCGATGACAATCACTTCGGTCGGGCTGGTGTTAGGGTCGGTGACGCGGCGCTCCAACCACGCAACAAAAGACACCGAGAAAGGAAGGGCCTCTCTCTTTTCGACAGGACCGGTTGCGGTCAGGAATGCAGTGCAGAGCGGGGTGTGGAGCTGAGCATGGACAGACGGTAAGCCGGCAACACGAGCCATCCAACTGAGAGCTTTAAAGGATACAGTAGAAAGCCCAGACGGTGCGGATGTTGCGTTGAGCCAATGTGGCAGGGCACCCGGTGGCGGATCGGACGGGTCGAATCCGGACCGGCAGGCATGCAATACCCAGGCCGACCAGGAGCGGAGATAGAGCTGTAGCGTGCTAGGTGCGTTTCTCGCGATGGCGCGGGTACGCATTTCTCGCGGATTCAGAAGGGATTTTGTGTGCAGAAACAGGGTGCATCGATCGCCCAGATCTTGCACCAGGTCACAGAACATATTGCGGAAGTGGGCCAGAGCACGAGAAGCAGACTCAGCCATCGACTCCGGTTCGCCGCCGGGCGCGGAAACAGGAAGGAAGCCTCGGTGCACAATAGGGCCGAGAGCAATTAAGTCGCCAGCGGCGTTGACCACCGCGGCCGTGGCAGTGAACCTGGCCAGGGCAGCGCGAGAAGGACGCCGAAAGGGAGAAAGGGACGGAGGAGAGGTGGAGAGCGGACCCGGACCAGTCGGCAAAACAGGGGCACGTCGCCGCGGCACAAACCTAGGTGCAGGCAGGGGGCAAGTCGCGCCAGTAGAAATGACGTGTGTTTTGTGCCGCACAGGGGAACGGGCACGAGCAAGAAATCCACACGATGTCAATTCCATAGCAAGGGACGGCTCAGCGATATCCGCAAGTCCAGGGAGCGGGGCATCTGAGGAGGACACGCCTGTCGGGGGATGATGATGAACGAGCCGGCCGAAGAGGATTCGGGACTATCGGCAGGCGGTGCAGGGGCCAATTCCCGCGGCGGGGAAAGGGCAGGCACACCCTCAGAAGTGCAGGAAGGCAGGCGGCCAACAGGACCGCGCAAAAGCTCGGCCAAGGCAGGGACGGACGAGGCCGCCTGGGCCACAGGGCCGGGCTCACGCGAAAGTACCTGACAGGCGCAAACACACGGAAGTAATGATTTAAGTAGAGAAACAACGGCGGGCACAACGCGCAAAGCACATCAGGCCTGATCTTCCACGGAGGCCTGACAGGTTGAAGTGAAAAATTGCAACACTACAGACAATCAAGGCGAAGCAAAGCAACTGCGCTAAGGCAATTTTTCCCTCCAGGGCGCGGCAAGCACGCGGCAAGCCGGCAGAGAGGCGGCACGACAAATGTGCAGCAATCCAAGGCGGGCCGGGAAACAAGTGCCTAGCTATAGGGCTTAAGTAAGGGCCAAGAAAGAGAATTATTACGGGTCAGGGCGGGAATGGGCGGGCCGATCAGAGCCCGTCTTGGACGCAGTAGGGACACTTGTGTCCCGTGTGTTCGGTCCGGCAGTATAACATTACCGGACGGAGACAGCACCGCAGGCAGTTCGGGCCGCGTGCGGGGCACTCGTGGCTACAATAGCCATGGATGCGAAGGTGAGACAGCGGTTCCTGGCGCGGCACCCACGGAGGGAGATCACTGTCCTCGAAGCAGAATAGCTCGGGGTAGGGCCAGGTCCGGTCATTGCGCGGAAAGGTCCGGAATGTAGATGCTGAGGCGGCAACCAGCCTTCGGAGTGGCACCACGGACCCTGCAGGATTCGCCTGGGGGTGAGGGGGGCGTTGACATCGAACTCGGGAGCTTCCTCGGCCCGGTTCGGATCCGAGTGCACTAGCGGAGTGCCAAGGGGAATGTGCGATGTGTCTGTCAGGGCCGGCGGGCGGGGCCGAGCAAACGGCGGGGGGTCAAGGAGGGAGGCTTGGATGGTGTCGGCAGCAGCACGGTCAGGGAACCGTGGGCCGGAAGGAATCGGGTCGAGCCTCCCCAAGCAGCGGTCAGGGTATCTTCCAAACGGCGGCGGGGCGGCAGCAGAAGCCAGCTGGGAGATGGGAAGTTCGATATCGAGCTGGGCCAGATTCGTGATTGCATAAAGTTGGTCTATAATGACCTCTGCCGTGATGCCGTACAAGCGGGCCAGGTGGCTGACGGGCAGGTCGGCGAGCTGCTTGTAGAGATCATCGTCGGAGAGAACATGCAGCCTCGGAGGGGGCGGGCTGGGCCGGCGCGGCTTGAGTAGCACCAGCAGCCGGCACGGAGGCCTGGGCAGCAGGACCAGCCTGGGCCGGAGTGGCAGCAGGCGAGCCGAAGCGGTCCGGGCCGCCCAAAGTGCCCACGATGCGGCCGGCCAGCGCACGAAGAGGATGGTCTCCGCCGGTGCGAACCATGATGACGGCAGAGGTCACAGGAGAGAGATCGAATGCGAAACTCGAGGGCAGGAAGCGGCTGCGGCAAAAAGTCAAGTGCAAGATATGACATGCAAGCAGCCTGCAACTGTGCAAGGGACGGACAAAGCGGCAGGCCAGCCTGAGGGACAACGACCGGAGGCAAAGCCGTCGGGTCGGGCCTGGGCCGGACAAGCCACCAAAACAATAAAGCAAGAAGCCTGAGCCACCAGCAGAGGGAGGCGGGCTTCTGCAGAGAACCTGGCCCGGCGGAGGCAGGTCAGACAGAATCAAGCAAGACGTGGGCAGGCCTTCGAATGGGAGGGCTGCTGGGTCTCGCCGGACGATCAGAAGAGCTGCGGCGTCTCCTGTTAGAGTAACAAATCCAATCGCAAGGAGGTCCAACCAGCCAGGCCTTGAACGGGCAGGGGCGGAAGGACTCGATGAGGACCTCCCTCGCCTGCGGCCTCGTCGCCTACGGCGACGGGGCGGGGACGAGGAGTCGGAAATGGCGGGCATCAAGCCTTACGACAGCCTACAATTCAAAGCTAGTACACCGATCGCGGACCGGAGCACTTAAGTCGTAACGGCTGCGGGCAGTACGACTTGCCGTTGCGAGTTAGCGGAAAAACACATTACGACCCGTCGAGAAACCATACATACATATATACATATACACGTATACACATATACATATAAATATACACATATACATATATACAATTACATAAACATAAACATATACATATACACATGCATGCATGCA